TCTCCTGGGTATGGAACCCCGTGGTCCTGATTTCATTTTCAAAGAGCAAAATTCTGTCCCACTACTTATTTCAGCTGTAAGATCTCTTGGACTGTCCCTTACTTACTGTGTCTTGAACTCTGACAGGTCTTGGCATGTTCTGCATTGTTTTTCAGCATAATGATAACAGCATAGTTAGAGTTGATAGCTAGACCATGAACTTTTGGTAAATCACTTCTAAACTTCTCTTTTAGGTGACATGAGTTACCGACACTTTAAACCAGAAATAAGAGTGACTTGCCTGCGATTCTCTCCTACAGGTGAGTATTGACAATTAATGTAGGATTGTTTTATTCCATATAAAACAAGCAAAAGAGTAGAGCATTGGAGGAGTAATAATGAAGTACAAATGCCTTGGAGATGATCTCTCCAGATGTTATACAGTGTTGCTCGGTTTGTAGTCTAGTTTCCTGTGCAGTGGATAATTAGTACATCACTGTCAGCTGGTATTTTTTACAAGCATTGTCATTGCTGACAGGTCCATCAGTGATGCATGGTTTTCAGTCTTATCCAGTTCTTGTAAGCAATGAATAGTCATCTGTTTATCATTATTCTTCTGTTTCCATCCTAGAAGACCCAGCTTTGTTCTTAAATATTGTTACTTCTCTTCTAGGACGAAGCTGGGCAGCCACCACCACAGAGGGTCTTCTTATCTATTCACTGGACTCTGGGCTAATTTTTGATCCTTTTGAGCTGGATGTTGATATCACACCCAGCAATATACACAAAACACTGCATCAGAAGGAATACACTATGGCTATCATCATGGCCTTGAAGCTGAATGAAAAGAAATTAATTCAGGAGGTCATAGAGGCTGTACCTAGCGATGAAGGTAAGTGGATCTTCCATGAAACTGGACTGAGCTAGCTGTTAGCGGAGATGTGTAAGCCAAATAAGTTGAAGGCTAAAGGGCAGAGGCTAGCTTGAGGCAGGGGGCGGAGGGGGAGTGATAACATTGATATTTAAGGAGTTTCTTCTGTAGCTGAAGCCTAAAGAGGAAGGGGTGGTCTTTTGTAAATAAAGTAGACTCTTTGGTGTTATGTTTTAATTTTACTGCATGCACATCTAGTGACTTCTGAACATGGAATTTGATCAGGTCTGGATATACAGGTAAAGTTTTTGGATTTCAGTTCTCGGAAGCAGCTGATGTTAGAGGGGCACAGCAAGTTCAGTGTTAGTTAGCAGTGTGCCTGTCTGATGAAGGCAGTCAACTGGATGCTGGGCTGTACTATCAAGGATGTAGTCAGCAGTTTGAGGAAAGTGATTAGTCATCTTTATCGAGCACTTGTGAATCACATCAGGAGTACTGTGCCTGGTTTTGGGCTCGCCAGTACAAGGCAGACACTGATACTCTGGAGCATCTGATGGAGGGCTTGGAAAATGATTGGAGGGCCAGAGTGCGTGACAGCTGAGGAGAGGCTTAAGAGAGCTGGGTTTGTTCAGTCTTCAGAAGAGAAGGGGAATATTTTTACTGTCTTCAAGTGCCTAACAGGATGTTAGAAAGAAGGCAGAACCAGACTCAGAGTTGCACAATGATATGACAAGAGGCAACAGACCTCCTGCAGCATGGGAAATTAAAAACGATAATGTGTTTGGGGTAGTCAAATACAGCAGCAGGTTGACAAGGGAGATAGTGGAGTCTCTATCCTTGGAAGTGTTCAGCACTCAACTGGATAAAGCTCTGTGCCAGCTGCTCTAAATCAGTCTTGCCAGGCCAAAGTCTGCCAAAATTTGGACAACTCTGCAACTGTCAGCCCTTTGAAGTTCTGATGATTTTTGTTCCTTTATAGTGTTTGTGAAATTCATCCCTCTAAACAAATGTAAATATGGTCCTTATAGAGGGCAAACCAAACAGATGATTAGTTAAGTGCCAAGCTCTTTCTAACAAGAGACAGATGCTTTCACAATTGTGACATGTCAGAAACAGGTAAGATGTCACTCAGCTTTGGAGGACATTTACTGAAGTCATTCTTTAGCATCCGTTTCATCATTTTGATAACTAATGTGCACATTCATTAGCTATATATGGTAGACATGACCTTAAAAATCAACTTTCAGTAGTGTATTCTACTTAACTTCGTTAACAGTTCTGTCATAGTAACTCTAAAGTATATTGTCTTACCTTAACCTCAGTGGTGTTGCCCTAGTAAAAAGTATTTATTTCCGTGCAGTATTTCACATGTAGCAAATAAAAATTCCTTTTATCTAGTCAAAATATGCTCGAGTCTGAAATCAGATGTGTTGCAACCCAACCGCCTTGTAGGATTTTCTTATCTTATTGCCTAGGTAGCAAGCCTGATAATTACGCATGTCAGGGTAAATCACGTTTTGCATACCTGCGTTGGCATAAGCGTTTGCCTCTGTCTGCCAAAACTTAGTTCTCTTTTACTGAAGTTAACCAAAACTCCCATGTACACAGGCAACGCTGGGTAAGTAGGCAGGTACCAAAACCTCAGCAGCAGGGGATGAGGCATGGAAATTTCAGGTGTTGTAATCCACTGTTGACAGAATGAATGTATGCCTGTTTCTTTGAAAGCCGAAAGCTTTTTTTCACTGTTGAATGTTACATAGGCCAGTTGGGGTGGCTGCAGAGAATAGGAGTTTGTTATTTTTGAGAGAAGTTTATATATAATGAGGTCGTCATAGTTACATGTGAGATTATTTTGAATGCTTATAAATCATGCTTCTTTGTGCTGAGCTGTTGCTAACAGCCTTCAGACACTTCCTCTGTGAGCAGGCGACTTTGCTGTCTTTGCAAGTGTCCTTTATTACCTCTGGTTGTTACGCTTAACTAGTTCCACTGAATACAGAAATTCTTACGAAGCAACAAGACTTCAATAAAGTCTAGTTACACTGAAAGAGGAGGAAAGGGTGGAAGTAAAAGTTGTGAAGGAGAGACCGGGGGAGAGTATTCTGGTCGGAGGAAGAACTTGGAGAGGGGGGGAGTTAAGTTCTTACTTTTAAATACAGTAGTGATTGGAAGGCTCAAAGAGGAAAGACTTGCTTCCTGAGAGACTGTGCTACTGTACCCTGAAATACAATGCTAAATATCAAATAGTTGCCCAGACAGTGCTTTCTTCTCCTTCCCTATATGCTTTCCTACGGTCTCTCTCATGTTATTCCAAATCATAATTCAACTCTGATGTCTATGGGCTTTTTTTTTTGCACAGTTGATGTTGTCTGCTCATCACTCCCAGACCTGTACGTGGAGAAAGTGTTGGAGTTCCTGGCCTCTGCATTTGAGATATCTTGTCATTTAGAGTTCTATCTTATTTGGGCTCATAAGTTGCTCATGCTGCATGGACAGAAACTGAAAACAAGGTGAGATCTTGTGAAAGTCAGAAAGCTGACAAGCATTTTAGAACACCTGTCAGTTTGAGGTTTTTAATTAACAGTTACTGACGTTCTAGATAGATGCAAATACAGCAATTAAACCTACTTAATTTACATTTATCACATATACATTTAATACATGTTATTTAAATATTTACATTTATTTATAAAATTTACATTTTAATTTAACACAACTTCTTTACGAACAAATGTGTATATGATAGCATTGGAATGCGTAATAGGATTTGTGAGGATAAATTGCAAAAACGTTTTTCAAATATTACAGGTAAAACTGCATAGTTTGCTTACCCTATAAATGCATAGAGATTTCCAGAGTGATAGGATTTTGGCAGTTGTGTTTTTAAACAATTATGTATATTAAATATAACTGAAAGATAATGTGCAGATACTGACTTCATTTTGTAGCTTGTTATTACAGCATGCACTTTTAGCTTGTTAGTATTCTGCTTTCCTACATAATTCTTTACAACTACACGTGCCTGCCATGTGAATTATATTCAGCCCACCCATAGTACTGAGTTTATAGACTTTTGGGAACAAAAATAGGCAAACTTAGAAATTTAAAATAGGCTAAGTGAGAGGTAATCGGAGAGGGAGTCCTGCAGGTTAAAGAAACAGTGCATTGAGTAACTCTTTCCTTGCTTCAACATGGGTATTACTGGTTCAGTTACTGAAATGACTGGAACAAATTTTCTCTTTTTGTTGCTGATAAAGTAGAAGAGGATGATTTAAAATAAACTCATCCTTGTTCAGAAAATATTGTAGTAGCTGGAAGGAACTGTCATCATTACAGCAAGCAGAGTTAGTTCTTCAAGCTGCAGTGTGACATTAGGGAAAAAAAAAATTTCTAGCAATAATATTACTTGTATTGAGTATAATCATTGAGGGCAGAGTCAGAAGAAAGAAGTTTTTATTTATTTAGTATTATCTTAAACGTTCGTGTTTAAAAATTAACATGTATGCTTTTTAAAACTTTGAGAATATAGAAAAGTTCTAAATTCCCATCTATAAATATAAATCACGCTGCAAGTTGCATGTTTTCTCCATTCAAGGTCAGTGAAGCTGCTCCCTATGATTCAGTTCCTTCAGAAAAGCATCCAACGTCATTTTGAAGATGTTTCCAAACTGTATGTATTGTTATATTTAAAAGTTTAAATCAAAACCCTGCACAAAAGCATGGAGTAATTTGGGGGATGATAGCATGGTATTAGAACTTTTGAGATGGTGGTCTTTTAGAGATGTTTTTATTTTAGGAAAAAAGTGCAATCTTGTTTCTAAGACATTACTATTTATTTTTACAGCTGTGAATGGAATATCTACAATATTAAATATGCATTGGCCATTTCACAACAGCGGGGCATGAAACGTCTGGCAGAAGAAACATCAGTAGATGAAGATGACTTGGATTCTGACAGTGATTATCTCATGCAAGAAGTTCATAAAGACAGTCTTAGTTCCTAGTTACTCTTCGTGGGAGGGAGAAGACCTCAGACAAAGTAATTCTATGCAGTGGTATTCACTGAGAATGAGTGGCCCTCATAGTGGCATATTTTAACTCTCTCTAACAGTGTGGATGGAGTTATGTGTGAGTCATACAAGAGGGTGAAATGCAGGATAGACCAGGTGCCACCCGTGGTGTATTTGGTGTACCCTTTGGCCGTAACAGCTTGACAGCACTGATTGCTTGATTCATTGATTTGCTTTTTTATTGTTCCTGATTTCAAGTAAGACAAAAATGTATTCTTATAGCAGTGAAGTTAGAAATACGACTGGAAGAAGTGTATTCTTTATTAAAAATGCATTGTACATAGACTAAGTATTATGAGTTATTTGTAATGCAGTCTTGTCATACTTTGTGGTGGACTCTTTTTTTTTAATCCTTTTTTAAGTCATTCTTAATTGGAGGTCTAGATATCACTCTCAACTTGTTTTAAATGTTTTAATTGGTTTTAGTATGTACATATTACTGGAACGCTGTTAGGAATAAGTGGACCTATTTTTCTTAGTTCTGTAGCTTCCAAACCTGATGAAGTTTCAATAGTGAGCATAAATGATACACCTATAACAATGAATATGGGGGAGAAAGTTTACTGTGCTATATAACTTCTGCAGGGCTTTAATTAATTAATCCGAGATACTGCAGTAAAAATTTGTTTGGAAATTGCCAACTCAGTCTAACTTAAACTGTAGGAGAACGTGTTACAAATGTTTCTTTTTCTCATGAAAGCCCTCTCTTGTCTTGTGTCTTTTTTAAAGGTTTTTATTAACATGAAAATCTGAAACTTTTTGTGTCCTTGCTTTTGTGAATTGGCATGAGAATTGGCTAATAACAACAGCGAGGCACTGAACATAAACTGTACCTGTGCTTGTGATGCTTTCAAGCCACCTGTTGAAAGGGCTTTGTAAATGAAGATACTGCAGATATTAATAATAAGCCAGAATTGATTGCTTTCAGTGTATTCTGTTCTTTTCAATTTGTTTTCTGATCTCTTTCCACTGTTGGAAGAGAGGAGAGGTATGAATATTAAAAACTGCTGAATAAAAACCAAAGTCCAAAACATACAGCAGACAGAGTTTGTAGAATTTCAGTATACAAAATAAAGATGCACTTGCTGCTTAAATAAAACATAGCAAAGTGATCTGTTTTGTTTTTCTTGTGGTAAAATGTTTAAAAATATCTTCAGTTGCTGATGCCCCCGTGCCTCCTAACACTTTCGTGGTTGTGCCGATGTTCCAGGATCTCAGAGGGGCGAAGGAGTAGCCGGGTGGGCTGGAGCAATGCTTGTGGAAGATGCTCTGTGGTATCATGTTGGGATTTGGAATTGCTTGTCGTTCTCCACCCCTCCGCCACCTCCTGCCATGGTAGAAAGTGGGCTTTCTGCCCTCGGTAGAAGGCAGTAGAGGTGAACAGGGAAGTAGCGGCGCAGGAAAACAAAAAAATCCGTCTTGGGATCCTTGTAAAGCTGAAGTGCTTAAGCTAACGTGAAAACCATGATTGTCTTACCTGACATATAGCATAGTTGTTACTTCTTAATCCATTTTACTGTTTTTCATGTACATGTTGTCTTTGCATGCTTTTTTAAAAACCATATTCTATTCCCAAACTATATGACCTGTAGCAGACAGGCTGTAATTGTTCTGGGACTGTCATGGCAATAGCTTTGTGCTATGTAAAACAGGAGTTGCACTGTTCTATAAAGTTGGCTAACTTGATCCCTAAATTTGTATTTGTCTCTTGGGTTTACAGTATTGGAAAACACAGAACATGGAGAACATGTGGCCTTTCAGAACAACCTCTTAGAAACATGGTTTTGGGTTTTTTTTACTCTTAACATTCAAAACATTTCTGAAGATGAAAACTTCACAGAAAGTATGTTTTACAAAGCACAAGAGCCTTGAGGGAAGGTGAGAGGGTTAGCGTCGCAGCAGTTCTTGTATATGAGATAAGGATGTGTTCTACTTGCATTAGTCATTTTGCTTGAGCTATAACAAGCTTTTAGGTAATGAAGGCAAATCTTATGACGCACATGAAAGCCAATGCAATTTTCCAATGTGTTCTTCCATAGTCATAGGAAAGATAATAAAAACTATCTATCAGATGTTAAGCCTGGCATGTCCAAAGCTTGGCTTGACCCTCGTGCACGTTGGCACAATCTGCCAGTCTGCGGGTCGCCCCCGTGGGCTGGGGTCAGGTGTTGAAGCAGCACCACGCCCTGCCTTCCTCCAGCGCAGGCTCGGACCGCGCCTGCAAACTGGCACCTTGGCTTTTATTTAATGTTTCTTTTATCCTTCTCTTTTAGAAGCCATACCCTATTTTGCAGGATCCTAGAAAGAATGCAATGAAGCTGTCCGTATTAACAGCCCTAGCCTCGGCGGCCTCTTGCTGCCCCTGCCCCGCTCGGGCCGTGCGCACCTTCTCACTTGCAAAAGGAACCTGGTGCTGCTCGGCTTCTCTTCAAAACGGGTCCCAACGTTTTATTTACACGCGCGTTTCACTTCTCTGACTGCTGCTACTGTTTTGACTCGATGAGGTCAGGGAAGGGACCCAGGGCCCGCAGGCCCCAGCGCGCGCGGGCGCTGCTCCTCCCCGCCTCCAGGGGG